CTCTGGCAATATGATATCACAGTATTTCGGTTATTGTTACATCTCTAATTTTGCATGTAATCAGTTTGTTTTTAGGTGCATTTGCATGCTATTAGATGAGCAGAAAATGTGAATAAAAGGTTTAGATTAGGGAGATGACAAAGAGATAGTGTCATTATCAATGCAATCAAGGGTAACATGCATAAATAAATAAACAATTAAAAAAGCTGTTATATTTATGTTTTTTAGATAGTATCATATGGGGGCAAGAGACAGTTTTCCCTATTGATTACTTTGCCGCCGGTTGCCATGAAATATCCAAAAGGTAAATTCTCAAATATTGAACCTCATCATTTCTATTAGTGAAATGATACTCAAACTATATTCCAACAAAAATGCATTTTAACAATATTAATTTTTGCTGCCCCCACTGGCCTATAGAATGTTGCAATGCCAACTAAAACCCAGCAAACTCAAGGCAAAGTGTGTCAATAAGGGGGAGTGTATACATTTCTGTTTTGCTTGTTTTTTTCTTAAGTTCAGAAATAGACATTCAAACTAATGAAATCCTGTAACTAATGAAAAAAACACAGGTTTCAATATACCACCTCTCCATTACCAGTTCACCTCATAAAATATTTGGCCTTTCAAGTTCAGCTTGAACTTCATCATGAAAAACTGTGAGAAGGCATAACTTTAGAGCTGTATGAAGCATACTCAAAACTGTTCATATAATAAATACACACTAGAACTTCAGACCAATGTACATTTTTTGGTTCTGTTTGGCATGAATTAATTGCCATCCATAAACTCCTTGTACTAGGTAATATATGTAACACCTACTTTGAAGGTCCTATACTACACAAAATTGACTTTTTCAGCTTTAAGCTATGTTAAATGTTGTTACCTCATCAAAAACATACCGGGAGGCTGTCCACATCCTCAAAGCTCAAAATGCTCTGTTCCACCTTGTGATGTCATATGGTGGCAGTTTTCAAGTGAACAGCTACCTATTACCTTTTGTTAAGTAGAGATTGGCAATTCCTGAGGTGAAATGATCTAAATTATTCTAGTGAAGGTGTATGGAGTTTAAAAACACAATGGAGTGTTAAACATATGAATGAAACAAAACACAACTCGCGGTATGTTTGATGAGGAAACAACATTATAACAGCGGTAATCAAACAAAAAAAGCGCCCTGCAAGGTAAACCCATATTAGCCATGAAAACTGAGTGAAATTATTGCGTCTTATGAAAAGGTGAAGGATGCAGTGTGGAACATCTTTTGTCTACATGTCTTTTCCGGAGGTTAACTCAAAATGCTGCTGCTGCTGTTGCCTGGATACAATTTCCAATGGCAACACTTGAGCCTGCGAGGTGAGCAGCTCTTTTCAAAGGATTCAGGTAATATAACCAACACGGGCTGCTGCGTGCGTGTGTGTGTGTGGAGATGGACCGGAAGTGCCATAACAGCAATCACACACACATTCGCACACATAAAAAGCAAAGCAAAACGCACAAACTTCTCATGTCTCACTCAATGCCAGCTCTAAAGGAACTTCTGATTATTCTGATTATATTTTTTCCCTCAGTCTTTGACAATAGGCCAATATGTGAAGCAAAATTATGCTTACTCACATTATTATCCTTAGTTTGCCTTTATGCATAACTCTACATAAAAGTTGTTTTTATACACAATAGCCTTACCAGTGCATCTTGCTTTTCAATACAATTATACTATTTGCACAACACACTGCATTGAAATTCACTCCGCGCCTAGCAAGATTCCCACTTTCCTTCTCCCATCACATGAGATATGGTTTTATAAGAATGTTTTTCTATACTTTTAGTGCTTAGCTTATACAAGAGGGAGGTTTATGCTTGGTGAGAGCACACTGCCACCGTTTGTTGCTCTGCTGTAACTGCTGGCCTCAATAACCGGTGAAAAAGAAGGGTCGTTTCAACTGTAATGAACTGACCCTGTCCTTATTCTTTATAGCTTATTGTACAGTGGGTTTATGTGAGTCTTATGAGGTCACAAGGATTGATAGACCGCTGGAAACAGTACAATAGCATTTGCAATTTCCTCATCTCATTCATGGAGATGTAAATATCCAGTGTAATCTATGTTTGTGAAGCTTTTGCAAAATCAACATGGTCAGTATGTTATTATTAAATGCAATTATCAATTACTAAATTAATTATTTAATTAGTATAAGAATTAGTTAAAATTAGTTATTGCTTCCCTAATTAAATGCACTTCAAAAAGGTACTGGTACTCCTGGTCAAGTCTTGTCTCCATGGAGATGTAATGAGTTTGCCTGGAATGTACCACAGAATGGCATTTAACATATCTCTTTCCAGGGAGATTGGCAGGTGACATCTTCAAGCCAAGTCAGATCTGTGGAGAGACGAGTCTGTTCACTACAATAAGGATGCATGTTTTTCAAGGGATTTTTAGCAGTAAAAAAATCTGTAATCGAAAAAATAATTCAAAATGTAGAAGTATAATGCCTTACGATGGAACATCCCAGATAAAGCAATAGCAAGTGTACATTCCACCAGAAAAGATACATAGTGAGCATTTGAGAAAAAGCATTATTAAGAAAAACACTCTAAAACATAAATAATTTCCTTTGCATTTTCTATTTCTTTGCATTTGCGTTCCTCTTTTCACTGTTATCCATCAACAAGGTCTTAACCAAGACAGTTTAACAGGAAGAAAGGCATACGTCATCGCATACACTCGAACCATTAACTCTGCAGATGAAAGAGGGGGGGGTCATGTCATGGTCACCGCCGCAACTCTATCTGCAAACAGGAAGGTACTCTCCATCAGTGGGACTCCATAATATGACTCATCTGTACAACACCTACAGCCTATTGAAACTCAGAGTGTCTCATCCTCCACTTCAGAGACGAACACAGGCTCAGACTTTACTCAACAGGATAGACCCGTTCAGGGGAGTCAATACGGCCTAAAAAATAACCCTGGTTACAAAACATGGACACAATGAGGGGATTCTTATTTAGAAGATGTGAAGGAGAAGGGGAACACTTTGCTCCTTGTGGATTGTCTGACTAACCTATATTTTGGGAGAGAGACTTTTTTTTTTTTTTTGGAATGAATAGTTTTTGAGAATCTTTGCTTCCACAGAAATAGTAATGATCCTAAACAATTTCCTATATTATACAGTAGATATGATTGGACTACATATCTACACATAAGACAAAAAATAAACAAATCAGGCCTTTTTATTCAAGTTTTATTAGATAATCAAACTTGTATATATATTTTGGTAGATCTGGCAACTATCAGAAAAATATATAGGAGTCTAACAGTCCAGAAACTGTTTTGTTCAGTTCCCCCAACTCTTGAAACCTGTCAAAAAGTGCTCCTGAAACTACTGATAAAATTAAGTCCTGAAAGTTGAACTAAGGAAGACTCCTGAATAAATGAGGGATTACATTAAAATGTTGATACAATCTTTTTATTAGGTAAGCACCTTAATCCAAAGGAATAGAATAAATCACTTGTGCATATATATTGATACTGAAATATATTTTTCTTACAATGTAGGCAGGTACTTTTTTATTTGTAAATATCTGCCTTCATGTTCATCATAATTTTGTAGAAAATTTTGTAGAAAAACGTTTTTTGTTTTCTTTTTTTTTTCAGCTGTTGTTCTAGTACTAGCAACACAAACATATTTTTGTATTGTAAAATGCATGGACATGGAAATGGAAATTTTTATCAGCCTAAAATATGTAATTAGCTCCAATTGTTGTTTTACATCTTGCAGAACTGAAAAGGGGATGTTTTCTTTTCCCTTGCTAAAAAAAAATAAAAAACACTCCAATGCACTCACTCACCCCTACAGCTTGCGCCTCCTGTGTTCAGTTTTACCACACTGGCCTACTTATGGAATTGTGATTAGATGGTGGGCCTAACTTACTAAAACTCTTACATTTTACTATTGTTAGGCGTAGTGGGTTGTATACAATGGCGTTCGCAACATTCTTTAAACTACTACTGTCGTGTTCAAAGTAGTCTAATAGTAGGCAATACTAAGTATAATGAGTATATCAATGGTTTCTTTTTGGTACTTTTTGGTTCTTTTGGTGAGTTTATAAGATACTGCCTATGCACATAAAATAAAACATTTAAAAAAGTGAGATTTAAATAGGAAACAGGATAACATAAATATTATTGCAAATAATCAACACCTTTGGAAATTCTGACTTTGTAGTTGTAATATGTTGTGGGTGTGACCTATTGCTATTTCAATATCCCTCTGTGTGTTATAATTGATCATTTAAACAAAAACATGATGTTATGGCAGTTATTATTTATCAACTTAAATATGTAATTTGCATCTGCCCCACATTGTTCATATCTATATGATCTTGGTGATTTTATTTTCTATTTTCTCTGTAAATCAATTCCTATTCCTATTGAACTTGACTCAGAATTTGACCCATACCTGCCAGCCTCAGTGAGTTTCATTTGACTGGAGCCACCATGAATGGCGACTCCATTAGTCCACCTTACTTACACTTACTACACTTTAGTTATTACAGGGAACTCTGCATTAGTTGCCTAACCAGCCAAGCGTGAGGTTCTTGCTGGTCCGTTAATTAAATTAGGAAGCACACAGTCCATTATGACAAATATTTTGCACTTTTTACCTTTCATCCAGCAAGTGGCAGTAATGAGCTCTGTTGGTTCGGGTGGAAAGTGTCCGGTCCAGAGATGCTTCAGTTGGAGGGAGCTTACGAGCCTTACAGAACCGTCTGCAAAATAAACAGTCAATTTAGAATATATGATACAATATTATAAAGCAGTGCCAAGATATACGAGACTGTTTTGAAACCACTTCATGTTTGCAATAATATAAAATCACGCATTTTCTTTATTTTCAACTATATATTTCGCCGTCTGAAGCCATAAGACTCATGTTAAAGGCAAGTTATCTCTGCTTTCGCTCCATGTCCACGCTCCACGCCCCGGGCCGATTACTCAATTTAAATTTCCGCATTGAGCGATCACTAGTTGCGCTGGTTCATGATCTGCAGCTGTAGCAGTGGCAGCAGCTAGTAGCCTGGGAACAATGTCAAGGCTTCTTTTGAGGACGAACTTGAGGGCTTGTATGGCCTCTCAGATCAGGATGGCATCTGACCAGGTAGATATAATTACTGTCAGAAAATCATTGATGTAGTTTAGCTTTAGCTGCGCCCGTGCCAATGTGGGCTAGCGCGGCTAACGTAGCAACTTGGTAACTTCATTGAAAGGTCAACTTTCTGTTGTCAGTTTCTCGATATCATGAAAAAAAAAAGATCACATCTGATTGTTATGAACGAATGAATCACGTTAAAGCATATTCTGATTTCCTGGACCTGTCTCATCTCGGATCAAACTGGGACCGATGTTGGCTAGTTAACTTAAGTTGCGTCATTTTTCATAATGTAACGTTGTACTATACTATAGTATAGTATAGTATACTATACTATAGTATAGTATTTAGCAGCATTAATGTGCACAAACAGCATCAAGTAGTTGTTTACATTGCGCATAATAGTTAATCTTGAAAAATAAAGAAGCGTTACTCTTAACTTCATTGAAAGCGTGTGCATTTTCTAACCTCATTCATTATTTCTGCCCTGAGCTCGGGGAGTTGGGCAAAGGTGCAGGAAAAGGTGGTGGTGGAGGAGGCTCTGTGAGGGAAGCAGGAGGTGCGTTTGGGAAGAGACAAGCTGCAGAAGAGGAGAGATATTTCAAGTAAGACCCATCTGTTAAAAGGTTTTCACACACACTGTTAAATTTACCTTTGTTCCATGTTGTCTGTGTAGGCAGAGGGAGAGGGAGCAGATGGAGGCTCTGAGGAAGCATCATTCTGAGGAAATTGAGCACCATAAAAAAGAAATTGAGCGTTTAAAGAAAGAGATCATCCGCCACGAGGGAAAGGTCAGAAGACTGAAGCACGACGACTGAAGAACCTAACACCAATCTACTCCAAGCATCATATCACTGATTCTGCTAGCTACAGGGCTAGACCATTTGGTCATTTATTCCAATAAAAAGTCTTAATTTTTCACTTGTGAAATAAGAGCTTTTAATGACTGTTTACTTATGCTTACTATTATATGATATAGGCCCACTTGTTTCCTGTGTAGTAAAGGTTCCTCTGTCATTAATGTTATCCCTGCTTTCTCCTGGTTTTTGAGGGTAAATGATTCGGGAAATATTTTGGGAGACCTGGTAACTACCAGAGAAATATATAGGGGAGCCTAATGGGAAAGATCCAGAAACTTTTGTGCAGTTCTCCCAACTCTTGAAACCTGTTAAAAAGCGTTTATGCAACTACAGCTAATTAAAGAAGACTCTTGGATAAATGAGGGATTACATCAGAATGTTAATACAGTCTTTGGGTTAAGGTGCTTGCCTACCAAAAGGAATAAAATAAAACACTGGTGCATTTCTGTGTTACAATATATGTAGGTTCTTTTATTTGTAAATACCTGCCTTCATGTTCATCATCATTAATTTTGTAGAAAAGTTTTTTTTTAGCTGTTGGTCAAACCTGTTTTTGCATTGTAAAATGCATGGACACTTTATTTTCGGAGTAAATATTTCACCCGTATCAAATTTCAAAAATATGATGAGTTTCAATTGTTGATTTACGCCTTGTAGAACTAAAAAAGTGGTGTTTTCTTTTGCCTTACTTAAAGAAATAAAAAGACTCCTATGCACTCACTCACCCCTGCAGCTCGCGCCTCCTGTGTGGCTACTCTCGTCACTTCTCGCGAGATTTGCTGGCGTTGTTTGGGCGAGAGCCGACGACGATACCGTTGTCTGGAAAATTGTCTCGTGTCTGAAGCGCATATCTAATATTAACCATTTCTGCTTTCCTTACCGTATAGTAGTAATACAGTTGTGAAATTGCCACTGCAGCGCTTCTGAAATTGGCCGGTGAGTTTTGCTAACTGTTTCCATTGTGTGATTTACGGTGCAAATGTGTTTGGTTTGCAAAAGGTGTCTCGGCACGGCAAGGCCTTGCACCTTTCAGCCCGATGGCTAGCCACATTAATGCTATATTTCTGTTCACTGTAACCTGTAAATTGTTTTCATACACCCAAATGCACGCATATCTAATGCTTTTATACGAGTCAGTTGCGTGTGTCTTTCGCCTTGTTCATCACTGTATATAAATAAAATAATCTTGCACGGCTGCTAACGATCCATGTGAAGGGGGCGGGACTGGCTGTTTATTCAACTCCTTATCCTAATATTGAGGAAAATATAAATTAGCGAATAACAGGCGATTAATCCTTGTACATTCACATTTATCGTCACTAACACATATATTATAATATGCATCCGTGTATTTGGTCATTCAACTAATAAAATCAAATTATGATGAAATAATCAAACTGTAACCTGTACATAATAACTGAAGTTGTTTTTTTTTTTTTTTTTTTACAGCGCAACCTGTAAAGTTTTTCATTCTGTTTTTCAGCACAGGATATGGCGGAGTTGAACGGTAGCTCTGTCCTATTAAAGGAAGAAGAAGAGCCCATGGAAACCTCGGCTGCACACACAGAGAACTACCAAACCCTAATTGATGCTGGACTGCCCCAGAAAGTGGCTGAGAGTTTAGACAATATCTTCCAAACAGGTCAGGGATATGGTCAATTACACTTAAGTTAAGTTTAAGTAATGCATACTATGTGACTATGTTTTACTGTTATAGGCTTGGTGGCCTATGAGGATCTGGACGAGAGAGCCATTGATGCTTTGAGGGAGTTCAATGAAGAAGGTGCCCTGACTGTACTGCAGCAGTTCAGAGAGAGTGACCTCTCACACGTGCAGGTAACAGTTCAGTTATCATTCTCTGATGTATTTGCATAATGTTTACTATATTAATTTGGTGTCTCTGAATAGAATAAAAGTGCTTTCCTTTGTGGAGTGATGAAGACGTACAGACAAAGGGAAAAGCAAGGGAGCAAAGTACAAGAATCCACTAAGGGCCCAGATGAAACCAAAATAAAGGTAAGCTAAATATATTGCCCCTATTTACACAATAGGTGCCAAAATCTAACAGTTTTATTTATTTTTCTCAGGCTCTTTTGGACAGGACTGGTTACACATTGGATGTAACCACAGGACAGAGGAAATATGGCGGGCCTCCACCTGAGGAGGTGTTCACAGGCTCACAACCTGGGATTGGTACCGAGGTATGTAATAACCAATTTCATGGTCTATTCTTAGTCATCTGAATGCTACTGAATGGCACTATATTCTGAGTTGCTGCTGTACGTATTGTCCCGTGATATTCAATTTATAAATACTAAATACCTTACCTTTTGGAATAAATGGATATTAATAGTTCTGAATTCAACTTTTTTTTTTAGGTTTTTGTCGGTAAAATCCCACGGGACTTGTATGAGGATGAGCTGGTGCCCCTCTTTGAGTCAGCTGGCCCAATCTGGGACCTTAGGTTAATGATGGACCCGCTGTCTGGACAGAATCGAGGTTATGCTTTTATCACTTACTGCAACAAGGATGATGCCCAAAAGGCTGTGAAGCTTGTAAGTCTAATGGTAATATTTACATTTTCATCAATGAAAAAATATACTGACTTTTTGTTTTTTTGTTTTTGTTTTTTGTTTGTTTAAGTGTGATAATCATGAAATCCGTCCAGGTAAATACTTGGGAGTGTGTATATCTGTTGCGAACAATCGTCTGTTTGTAGGATCAATCCCAAAGAACAAGACCAGAGAAAGTATTTTAGAGGACTTTGGCAAAGTGACAGGTGAGCTCCTGAACACAACATGGGAACGATGAAGTTGCTTGTGTAATAACTTTGTGCTTTTTCTACAGAGGGTCTCCAAGAGGTGATATTGTATCACCAACCGGATGACAAAAAGAAGAATCGTGGTTTTTGTTTCCTTGAGTATGAAGACCACAAGTCCGCAGCCCAGGCCCGACGTCGGCTAATGAGTGGAAAAGTGAAAGTTTGGGGAAACCCAGTGACCGTGGAGTGGGCTGACCCTGTCGCTGAACCAGATCCTGAGGTTATGGCAAAAGTAAGAAGGGTCATTTGGTCATTTTCCACAGCTATTGTTTGCTAATGTGACTGAAGGATGACTATTGTTTTATTTTTTGTTTTTTTAAAGGTAAAGGTGCTTTTTGTGAGGAAGCTGGCCTCAGCTGTGACTGAGGAGCTTCTAGAAAAGACCTTTTCCCAATTTGGGAAGTTGGAGCGAGTGAAGAAACTGAAGGATTACGCTTTTGTTCATTTTGAGGAGAGGGATGCAGCTGTAAAGGTGTGTGTGTGTGTGTTTGTTTCTCTTTCTCTCTTTAACATTTTCCACACCTTTGTCCATCCCGGTGTCAATCCCCATGTTTTCATGCAAAATGTTTTCGATCAGGCAATGGATGAGATGAATGGGCAGGAACTGGGGGGAGAAGAAATTGAGATTGTCCTGGCAAAGCCCCCAGACAAGAAGAGGAAAGAACGCCAAGCAGCTCGTCAGACCAGGAATGCAGGGTAAGACTTGAACATCTATTTAACATGAGTGCAGTATATTGTATTTACAATTTCATTTGTTTTGTTGTGTTTAGGTATGATGACTACTATTACTACCCACCCCCGCGTATGCCTCCTCCAGGTCGAGGCAGGGGCCGCGGGGCTCGGGGCGGCTATGCCTATCCCCCTGATTACTACGGATATGACGACTATTATGATGATTATTATGGCTACGACTATCATGACTACCGTGGGGGGTACGAAGACCCATACTACGGCTATGATGATATGTACAGCATGAGGGGCCGTGGTACCCGTCCCGCCCGAGGAGGCCCTCCCCCTCCCCGAGCTCGTGGTGCTCCTCCTGCCAGAGGCCGTGGGGGCTATGCCCAGAGAGGACCGCCCCTGGCGGGTCCACGTGGTGCCCGAGGGGGGCGTGGGGCTCCTTTCCAACCACAGCGTGGCCGTGGTCCTCGTGGAGCCCGGGGCAATCGCGGCGGCAACGTGGGTGGAAAGAGGAAGGCCGATGTGTTTAACCAGCCTGACTCCAAGCGCCGCCAGACCAACAACCAACAGAACTGGGGGTCCCAGCCCATCGCGCAGCAGCCCCTGCAGCAGGGGGCCGACTATTCCGGTAACTATGGGTATAGTAATGACACCATGGAGTTTTCACAGGATTCTTATGGGCAGCAGTGGAAGTAGATCACCAAAAGGTATTTGTGAAAAGAGAAAATAACACAACATAACAGAAAAAAACAGGAGATTGGCCACAATTTTTTGATTGACTTTTTTATCCTTCATCCCTCTTGAAACGATCTGTACATATATTTCTCAGAAAAAATGGACAGACCCCAGAATTGGCTCCAGATGATTGGCTGCAAAGCCTTTTGGCTGAAGAATGAACGTAACCGTTGTGGTGAATGAATTCTTACTCGGTTACATTGGGACATGTGTCTTAAAAATACATACTAAACACTTTTATTGTTACTTGATGTTTCTGATTCTTTTAAAGCCAACCATGAACATTCACAAAAATGGACATCATTCTCAAAAGTCTGAGAGGACATTAAATATTACTGCCTTGCAGAAAGTCTTTTCCAAGCCCTCCCCTTCCCCTTCTTGTAATCCCTTATTTGTGGTTTTTCATAGTTGCTTAGGGCTTTGCTTGTAAATAAATGCCTATCGTTAGAGCTTCATAACTTCATTTTTTGCAAAGGTGGAGAAAAGAATCCACAGGAAGGACAAAATCAAGTTTTGTAATGTTCAAAGTGTATGCCTAGCATTTCTAGAGGTAGTCAAATTGTGTTTTTTTAAAAATGATATCATAACTTCCTATGTTTTCTTTCAACATACCCAGTAGAATTTGGTTTGGCTTACCTTAAGAGCCATAGCAGTTTGTTCTCTGATGGTCTTTGTATTTATAACTTTTACGTTTGTTCCGTTTCAATAAAACTCAGCTGAGCATCAGTCAATTGTCAAAAACTCAAATTCAGTGTTGTCATTCAATATTTAATTTAAGCCAAATTTTAACATTTAAGATCCATCCTTTCATTTCTAAATCCAAAAGCTTCCACAAACTCATCAGTCAATTTAGGCAATGGGATAAGAGAGCCAAAGACCAGAATTTTAACCCTTTTCAGTGAATGTCACACCCTTCACATAGAAATATACAACCAAATAGAACATCCACAAAACAAAAGGCAAACAATGTAACCATCTTCTCATTTTGGCCAGATACCGCAAAATGTGTATATTTCTAGAATATTCCATTCATTGTGTTGGCCAAAGAAAGTTGGACTGGGATGTTTTATTGTCTGTCTTTGCAAGATGAGAGGCAGTTACAACATGCAAATTATCTTCCAAAATATGCAACAAAAGCAAAGTGTGAACTCAGCTGTCACAACTGTTACCCAGAGTTTACATCCACACCTCCACGAAAGTAGAGAGCTTAACTCAAAGGGTTAAAATTCTTAAATCGTCGTCTTCATTTATTTTTCCATTGAACTGTTTTGTTTAGCAGCATTGCCTTCATTGTATTTTGTTTCATGTGTCTGTCCTCTTATTCCAACCTGCCTAGGTGGAGAAGCATTGAGAGCCACTGCGCTAGAGTGAGGAACTCAGCTGACAGTACTCCAGGGTGAGCTCGCCTTGCACAGAGTACTGTCCTCTCCTGTAACTGCAGCTGTCAACACTAGCATTACTCACAAGGCAACTTCATCTAAACAGAAGCTTTTACTGTTACACAGGGTTCAAATGCTCCAAATCATTACGTTTGGATTTAAAATGAAAATGGGTAGTTTGGACTACACATTTCATTAGGAAAACTGCCCATTATTTAATACTGCATAAACTACAATCACCTGTTGGCCTGACACATCCCATTCTCCTCATCCATAGTGAGGTGGGCGGTGTTCAGTTCCGTCTTGTAACACTAGGGGCAGCAGTTCCACCGCAGCATCTGGGTCTTTGTTTGAATTTCTGCTGCTCGTGGTGGGAGAGGGTCTACAATTACAAATTATGGGGTGAATTGTAGCATATAAAACGCTTTTGCAGCTTTACCCTAGATATATTGGAATCTAATTGGTTAAAATGGGCTGGTTAATAATGAAATGGGCTCTTAAAAGAACAATGGGATGTGCAACATTTAATGCATTAATGCATTGACACCACCAGATGGCAGTAAAGTGTTCCTCATTCATAATGTTATTCAGGTAAGATTTTCATGTAGGGGAGTTTTGCTGGTCATTGTATTATCTACTCTGATTCGATCACATCATTGTCTCTCATTAGTTTTAAGAAATGTGCTAAAGTAGCATCTCATCTTGGTCTTACTGTGTGTCACCCTTTCAGCAGGAACTAGAAGATCTGCTAAGTCCCAGTGTCAGAGTCCATACATGAGGACCAACCAGTGGGTAAGAATGTTCAGCTGTTTGCACTTTGTGTTACGATGTGCACATTTATGAGCTGTCCGCAAGACATCACAAAATAACATTTTTCTAATATTGATACTATTTTTGTGTGTTTTTGTAGGTTCGAGGCAGAACAATGGTCCATAGAGCTAACTTTCATCTATGAAAAAACAATGGCCAACTGAGTACTTTTCAGACCAGTTTACAGTTTGGTAACTGTAGTAATCCAGAATAGTTTTGTTATTAAACATATAACATAAATGAGATAATAAATGTTGTTGTTGATTACAGAAACCTGGGCTGTTATTCCATGCTGAAAGTGGATCAGCTGAAGTGAAGACCACAAGACATTTCTGTGCAATGTATAAATGTTTTTACATTTTTGTATATTTATCCTCAACTATTTATAAACTTTTTTTTATGACATCTTAATACAGATTGTGTTCATGTGCGTGTTTTATTGGGATTTGTTTTATTTTTTAAATTAGGGACCCATTTTATCTCATGGATCAAAACCATTTCCAAAATCTTACATCCATTTTTAAGACTTTTTAAAATGATGCTGAATTTTATGTATTGGAATTGGAGTTTTTTATGATTTTGAGAAGAGTTTGAGACCAACACAATAGGCTGCACATGGCTCCTCAAAAATGACACGGACTAAGCAAACATTGTTGTACTCAAATGGAGCGCTGCAAACATTTTGGGTGTTTCTCAAAGACCACGCACACTGAGATCACGTGGTTCTGTACGTCATACGTAAACCGCGGGAAGATGGCGGCCGCCGGAGGAGAGTCCTCAGCGAAACCAGATTCAGATGAATTATTTCAGACTTTTTACTCTGAGGTATGCCTATTTACGAAATCAGGTGCTCCGTTTGAGAACTGTGATTACCGTATACAACACAACACGAGTATATACTATTAAATAACAGGATTTTAAGATTATTCTCCGTGAGGCCTTGTGTATGGGATTAGCCTAACTGTCATGTTTACAATGTAAATTAAACTACGACCCATCTAATATTTTTAAGCATTTATAACATACACTGAAGATCATCCGATTGAACGCATTTGCTCAATTCCAGTAGAGTTCATCACGTGAAGCAAGAATGATTGTGGCTTTCATGTTAAATATGGCGCTGTTTACAAAACGCGGTCCCATTCATAAAACATTCATTTCATTTACAGGTGAAGCAGATCGAGAAGAGAGACTCTGTGTTGACATCGAAGCAACAAATAGACAGACTGCTCAGGCCAGGTGCATCCTACTTCAATCTCAACCCTTTCGAGGTGTGCAATTTGAATTGAGTTTAAAGTAAAACGTACCCAAATATAGTTCTAGTCTAATTTGCTAATTATCGTTTATGTTCGATAGGTGCTGCAAATAGATCCCGATGCAACTGATGATGCATTAAAGAAACGTTTCAGAGCTGTAAGATTTTTTTTTTTTTATTAATAAAAAAAAAAACAAAAGTACATTATACTTAACATCTCTTTATGATTTATATTTGTGCCCATTTGCAGCTGTCAATTTTAGTCCATCCCGACAAAAACCAAGATGACCCAGACAGAGCACAGCAGGCTTTTGAAGGTAAATTCATAGTTGAAGATTTCTGCAGTTTTGCATCATTTTGATTCAAAGATGATCATTGTCGTGTTTGTTAAAAAGTGTTCATCTGGACATTTAAGGAATGGTTTGCCTTTCTCTGATACTGTGTAAACCTCCCCATATTATCAAAATAAGTTTTGCATTGTACCTTTTTTTGAGAGTTTGGTCACGATAACCTCCCTTTGAGCCATGTATATGGAGCTCTAATGGCTAATTCTCCCTGTTTCATTTGAACAAGTGACAAATTTTTCTAGTATCACCCTAAGAATGCTTAGATATAATATTTGTTGCTCCACAGTCTCATAACTGTTCTTCTGTTTGCATCTAGCTGTGGACAAGGCCTACAAACAACTGCTGGATCCTGAGCAGAAGAAGAGGGCCGTAGATGTTATTCAGGCTGGAAGGGAATACATCGAACATATGGTCAGTAATAATAACTATGTGTAATGTGCTATACGTCTTCAAAATGGAGGTTGTTACGTGTTTTCTGTTTTTCTTCAAAGGTGAGTGAGAAAAAGAAAAAACTGAAGAAGGAAGGGAAGGACCAGACGGTGGAAGAGGATGACCCTGAAGTGGTGAGTTTGCTCTCTTAAAATAATAATAATGATTCAGATGCACTGCATGATCTCTTTCTGTAAACTAATCCTGTGCATCTGAAAACAGTTTAGACAAGCTGTGTACAAGCAGACGATGAAGCTGTTTGCAGAGCTGGAAATCAAAAGGAAGGAAAGGGAAGCCAAGGATATGCACGAAAGGTAATATAATAAATTTATGGGCAAATGATGGTTTGGTTTTAGAAGTTTTTTATATATATATTTATGAAGAGACTTTGTGTATGAATCCTGGTATGGAAAAATACTCACTTTTATTGAAGCAAGCTCTCAGATAAATGTTAGGAAATATAATGTCTACTTTTGTTTTCTTAGATTTTACATATCAAGTGTCAAAATTAATTCATAGAAGCTTTTGAAATATGTGTTTTAATCTGTTTTTTAACCTGACAGAAAAAGGGCAAGAGAGGAAGAAATCGAAGCAGCGGAGAAAGCTAAAAGAGAGAGGGAGTGGCAGAAGAACTTTGAGGTGTGTTATGGTACTTGAGATAAAAAGCATTCTTGACATATCATGGTATAATTATGATTTTATTTTTATTTTCTTTAATATATATTCTTAGGAAACACGAGATGGGCGAGTGGACAGTTGGCGAAACTTCCAGGCAAAAGGCAAGAGTAAGAGCAAGAGCAAAGGAGAGAAAAGATCGTTCCTCAAACCTCCCAAAGTGAAGATGGAGCAGAGGGAATGATGCTGTACAATAGGACTTCATAGAAAAATAATTTCCTGTTTCTGAGTCTGTCCCTCGTCCATCATGTGCTGTGGACTCTCCATCACCACGTCAGGGACACAGCAGAGTCCGGACTCTCAGATGTAGTTTTGTACTGTTTTTGTACATAATGTGTGACCCTCTGATTTCTTTTGTTTTCACGATATATTTTTACAGAATAAAGCTCAGATCTTAAACATTCTTTCTGTGGTGTATAAAGTTAAAGCTTCAGTTTGTTTAAAGATTAATTTTAAAGAGTCAAATTCAAATAACGAAATTTGCTAAAATTTGCGATTGTAGGTATTGGTTTACATGGTTTCTGAACTGTCCCCATTTCACACTGATGCAAATCCACTGTGTTTCACAGTGAATGCAGTAATCGTTTTATTTTGTATTGGTTTTGCATGTGTTATTGTATCAATGACCCCTGTCAATAAAAGACTACTACACAATGGATCTGGTATATCTGGTATATTTCATTAGAAATAAAAGATCAAGAAATAGTGAATACAAATGCAATATTTACAGTTATATTTAAATAGTCTCAATTATATTGCATGCTGAAAGGCCTAGCTAAAAACAAAAAAACATCCTCATTCAAGGTTTAAAATTAAGTGCTCCATCATTTGAAATGCTGTCAAATGTCTGTACAGATGAGTTCAGTCTCAGAGAGTTACATGACTTTACATGGGTCCACATTGCCTCCAGTCGCTGCAACTGGAGCTGTGGTTCCTCCCATCAGTCCGTCCAAACTCAGGCCCTGAAATGCCCCAAAAAACAATTCATCTTTGGCTGCAGCCGCAGGTTTTCTAGGAGTGGTCGTCTGCTACAAGATAAATACAAGGTATATATATACACAAATATATATGTAAGAAATCTGATTAGATATTAGTTGAGAGTTTACTTACCCTGGGAAGACAGTGCTGCCTCCTGAAATGTGTTTTTCTGACCACTCTCTCTGCATTTTTCTTGGCCAAAATTGCTTGTTGTCTTTTCCTTCAGAGAAACAAAGCAAAGCAACGTGAGTCATTCCACCTGCCAAGCTGCTTAGTCTCACGAGGCCTGTCTTTAACCTGGTAATAAGTCTGTCTGGCTGCGCTGTACCTCAGGCTTTGGTGTAACCTACAGCTTCAATACAGAGTTCAGCACAAGGTGTGAGCATAGCACTTGTTTGGCACTATTTTAGTCTATTCATTTAGTATAAATGTTGTACAGGTGAATTTTTGTCAGCAGATTGAATCAACCATTTAGACATGTAATTATTGTACTTAATTTAGTATTTTAAATAATAAATATTCTGCCAACCCAGATCTTTTGCAACAACAAAAGTATTTTAAGATGTTAAGAGGGTCTTGAAAGTGAAAGAGGATCTGGCACCTGCTTGTCTCCATGGAGTTGCCATTAATTGCATGGAATGTTCCACAGTATAGATTTAGACTTATCTCCCTCCATGGAAGCAGCTCAACTCAAAGTAAGATAATATGTGAAGGTATTTTGTAGCAATAAAAACACCTGGAATTAAATAAATGCAAGATAAATCCTGAATAAGTTCCTGCTATATTGAGGAACATTCCAGGCAAAACAATAACATCTCCATAGAGACAAGCAGGTGGTGGTCCCTCTACCTGAAAAGTTACACAGTGTCTCTTTAAAACAGATGTCACCTCACCGTTCTCTCTTGAGTTCATCTTGGTAGACTCTGAGCCAGGAGTCAGGGACCTTCTGATTGGTGCAGGGCAGACTCCTCCTCCTCCCCACACTCATCCTTCGACTACGAGAAAAACTGGCCCTCCTCACCGACTGGGAACGCTTAGACCCCCCTCTTTTAGCGGACGAGGCTCTTCCAGACATGAACTGCTTCAGAGGAGAGCCCAAGGACATCAGGGAATCCATGACTGGGTTTGGCTATGAGCTGGGTCCTCTTGAAACTAAATAGGAGGATGAATGAGAGTATTGCCATTAGAAATATGAGAGAGACAGAGATACTCTATTGATTAAATGTTTTCTTTTTAGGTTCAGTGAAAGGTAATATACAAGAAAGGTGTATCATTGTCAAAAATGTATCTACCTAATAGTCAAATATGAATACATAACCAGTATCATTATCTTGCAGTTGTAAATAAATACTTCCAAGATTGCAGTAAATTATAGACCTCCAAAATCACACTGTCCATGGGTTCCAGTTCCCTCTTATATGCAACATTTTGAGGATTTTTTCCCATTCAGTTTCCCATTAATTTTAAGTGGTACAGAAAGTACATACAGCTGACATAATCTTCAGTCAATTTCTTCATATCTGCATGTATAAAGTGCAAATTCTACATACCTGCTTGACAGAGAAACCATGCAAAACTATAGCTAAGAGAAGGTATTCCAGCGCATTGCAGAGGTCCTTACTGATGTGTGCCTCTCCTGTCTGCTCTTATGAAGGATTGACTGTTGAACTGTCTTAATTAGGATTAGGCAAAGACGCAAGAGCCCTTTATCCCATTACCCACCTGACAGTACTCACAAACAAATCTGTCAATAATACTTTGTTTATATACATGTACATTTATTTTAACTAAAATAACTAGAGATCGCAAAGTTTCAGTTCATTTTTGCAACCATTTTGAAGCAAGGTATCTTTAAATTATTAATTATTTGTGCCCGAGGTGAGGAAAAGCAGACAGCTGGAGCGTGGAGAGACTTGAGGTGAATAGTGACGTTGTAGTGACGCAGAAAAGCTCCCCACGATTCACCAATGGGCAGAGTTCATTGACTGGTATCGCCAAATGGTGGAGCTGAATGACTCATTCATAACAAATCCTGACCTGGACTGACCTGGTGCATCTTGTATCAGAATGTTTCAACTTTTGTGAAATAACTTTTGACTTTTGAAGACGTAAGAGATAAATGCCCAAAACTAGTGTTGCAGTAAAATTACATTGCAACTGTAGAAATAATATGATGGAACAATAATTCAGTTGACTCTATATATCAGATTTTATGACATTTTGCTGCGCAGAGAAATTAAGACAATAAAAGAGAGTAAATCATAAATAAATACAATCATAATAAAAAGCATAAAAATACCAAAAGCTAAAAAAAAGTTAAAACTATAAAATGAATTAAATTAAATTAAAATTATGTAAAAATGTATCTATTCAATTAACCAGCATTTACTTACTAAATCAACATAACATAATGAAATATAACATATGACATTATTTATTTACTTTTGACAGCATTTGATTTTGTTGATTAACTTTTGAAAAATAATTTAAATCATTCTCAAGTGGAAGTGTAGTATGGAGCAGTAAAAGTACTTTCTACCATTTTGTGTTACGTGAACATGTACATTTTAAGTTGATCCTTAAAATCCAAATAGTTACTTTGGGTCAACATAAAGGAATTAAATTTGGTAAGAATGTAGCAGTTAAAGTGAACTTGTATTTATTTTTCATTTCTCTTTTTGTGTATAAGTAAAATATATTCAAATAATTAGTTGTAGTTGATGCTTGAACTATATTTAAAACTAAAGACCTGGGCATTTTGACATAGATTAGAAAAGAGGAGGAAGTAAGACGAGTTTTGTGAATGGTTGTGACAGATGGTGAGATAAATGGAGACATATGTTTAAGCAGATGTTACACCTCCTGATGTCTTGGCGCTAACAGGTCCACCTTTACATTAGGATTCTGGACACGTGAACGGAAATTACCATTATCTCTTCGTAAAAGAAGAAGACAACATAATTAAATAATTTTACATTTAGACAATTGTAAACTGCAATATTGTTCTAAAACAGGTTGTGTTTTGTTTCACTCACCCATGTAATCCTGTATTTAGTTCTTCTTTCAAACTGGCAACACCACCACCTTGTGATGTCATGTGGTAATACAGGAAGTTCTCCTGTTTGTAAACTGCATACACCTAAACTAGAATAATTTGGATCATCTCAGCTCTGGACTAAGCCAAACCGATACTGCAACTGGATGTAGGAGTTGCCCTTAGCCATAACATTAACAAGCAGAGAAAAGTTGCTAAAATTTTAATCTTCTGCTGATGAAAACTGTTCTACAATCACAACATAAACTGATGATTTTATGTTGAAGACCTGGGTGCTGGGAATTTAGCAAGTATTTAGTAATGTTAATTGATTTTAACTGCTAGATGTGCCATCCCAAAGAATAAATGTATATTAAAGCCGCGTGCGGCGATGGTGGCCCTCGCCCCGGCGCGCAGTCGCTCCCCAGGCGACCGCCGGGGACTCGCGACCACCCCGGCACGCCACTCTCTCTTCCCGACAGCTGCCCAGGCCAACAGCTCATCCATTACACACATTACATAATGCACCTTTAAATATTTTAAGGAGTCATTGCGCCCCTACCGGCCAACAGTGGAAAATGCATCATGTCCATAATAGACTTTCTGACTTGTAATCATGCATAGAATTTATTTCCCGAATTTGGTACAAATCCAATAATGTTGACGGGTCATGTCTATGGTAGGGGGCGCTAAAGTGTTCACTTTTCATATGTTTTATAGTGTATTATATTCAGGCTGAGATCACGCATTATTGATTCAAATTTCAGCACGATCCGATTAAACATGGGCATATAATCATTTTTTTCATCTTTGCGCCCCTGCTGGCCAACTGTGAAAAATACCCCATGTCTGTAATAAACTTTTTTGCTTGTAATCATGCATAGAATTTTATTTGCAAATTTGGTGCTAATTTGATCATGTTGACGTTTCATGTCTATGCTAGGGGGCACTATAGAGATCACTTTTCATATACTTCATAGTGTATTATATTCAGGCCGTGATCATGCATTAGTGATTCAAATTTAAGCACGATTGGACTAAGCCTAGCTGTGTCTGTAATTATTTTTTTACTATTTTTTGGGGGAGTCTTTGCGCCCCTGCTGGCCAAATGTGGAAAATGTCCCAGGTCCGTAATAGACTTTTTTGCTTGTAATCATACACAGAATTTAATTCCCGAATTTGGTACAAATCTGATAATGTTGATGTTTCATGTCTGTGCTAGGGGGCGCTATAGAGTTCACTTTTATTAAATTTCATATTTCATTACATTCAGGCCTGGAGCACGCAATTGTGATTTGAATTTGAGTTCTCTAGGACAATGCCTCTGGCTGTGACAGGTCACCGAAGAAACAGGAAATGAAGGCGTTTTTCTTGAATTTTCTTTTGACTTGAATCTTTTTGTAGACCAAGTCAAAACGGCGCCGAATTTTTGATCCAATATGGCCGACTTCCTGTTCGTCATAGGGGTGCACTATGATTGGCTTTTTTGCTAGTCTCCTTGAGTTCTATCACTGTTCCGAATTTCGTGACCCTATGCCAAAATTTTGAAAATTCAGGGGGGCGCTGTTGAGTGGGGGGGCTTTGGTCATTGTCACAATGCCAATTTTATCAAATTTTTCGCCGGACCGGTCGATCTGGACCCCG